GATACTGGAGTCACCGTATGCTCACTGCACCGTATGCTCATGTTGGACACCTTCCTTGGGTCTTCACCTGGCATCAGCTCTTCCTGGGTGTTCAGCCTGTGGGCCTTTGGACTGGAAACTACACCATTAGTTATCGTTTTCTCTCTCTCTCTCTCTCTCTCTCTCTCTCTACTTGCATATATATTTATATAATACTTTCTATCAATTCTGTTTCTCTGGAGAACTGTGGCTAACAGATTTGAAAATAAATATTTGTATAAATTAGGTAGGCTCATATGTTAGGTTCTCAAAAATTATTTTTGAATATTGGAATGCATTAAGAGTGCCTTAAGATGAATTGCACTGAAATTTTTTTAAAAAACCTATATGTAGTCAATGAAATAATAATTTTTGGTCAATTTGATAATAACAACAAATTTAAAAATTCATAAACTAAATATGACACATAGTTTGAATGCCAGTTTTCTTTTTGAAGCTATAAGGCCCTATAATCAAACCACTCAAATGAATCAATTTAATTAAATAATTCCACTGCTTTTTTTAAATTTTTTTTCCAAAACAAAATAAATCAGAATTTATTTCCCTGAAGAATCAGCATTTGGGGTTGGTGTTGTGGGGTAGCAGGTAAAGTTGCCGCCTGCAGTGCCAAGAATCCCATATTGGCACCAGTTTATGTCCCGGCTGCTCCACTTCCAATCCAGCTCTCTGCTATGGCCTGGGAAAGCAGTAGAAGATGGTCCAAGTCCTTGGGCCCTGCACCCGCATGGGAAGACCCGGAAGAAGCCCCTGGCTCCTGCCTTCGGAATGGCACAGCTCCGGCCATTGCGGCCAGTTGGGGAGTGAACCAGCAGATGGAAGACCTCTCTCTTTCACTCTCTGCCTCTGCCTCTCCTTCTCTCTCTGTGTGTAACTCTTTCAAATAAATACATAGATCTTTTAAAAAAAAAGAATCAGCATTTGGCTCACTGTTAATATATAAATCTAAAAATACAGAGAGAGGGAGAGACAGAGAAATTGGGGAGGGAGAGTGACATAGAGAAGGAAGGAGGGACAAAAAGAGAAAGAAAAAAAGGGTGAAAGAGAAAACGAGGGAAGAAGCAGAGAAAGAACAACAAGGCAACAACCGACAAAATAAAATCCATCTCATTCCTGTTAGAGCACCTAATAGATGATGATGATTCTGTTGAGCAAGATATAACTCCCCCCCCCAAAAAAAAGTTGTAGATGTGAGAGATATTTACTAAACATGTATGATTATTTTAAACATTACAATTGTTGATAACCCCCACTGCTGGAACCGACCTGCAGCACGGTAAGGTACCTGGACACTCAGACTGGGAAGGTCGTTTGATGAGGGAAGGCTTGTAATTTTGCCCCTAGAACCTTTTAATTGGGAGGGCTATACATTCTAGTTTGTGCCTTTTCCGTTTGTGTTTCCCGGGGATTTCTCATTGTCAAAGTCAGAGTCACAGAGAGGCTGCCCTGGTCACCACTGCCCCAGGCTACACAGGAGGGTTTGTCATCATCACATTCCTAACATCACTATTATCCTACTTTCTAATTGTGTCTGTCTGAGAAAAAAAAGTGATATCTCACTTCTATTTGAATTCCTCAGATTTCCCATGATTCTGAACACCCCATCATATGCTGTTGGCTTTTCAGATTTCTTCCCCTTCATATTGCCTGTTCTATACTTTGCCCAGTTTTCTATCAGTGCCACTGTTCTTTTAAAGATTTATTTATTTATTTATTTGCATCATTGCAGCTATTTGGGGAATGAACCAGAGGATGAAAGATTTCTCTCTCTGTCTCTCCTTCTCTCTCTGTGACTGCCTTTTTTATTTTTATTTTTGACAGGCAGAGTGGACAGTGAGAGAGAGAGACAGACAGAAAGGTCTTCCTTTGCCGTTGGTTCACCCCTCAATGGCCGCCATGGGCAGCACGCTGTGGCCGGCGCATCGTGCTGATCCGAAGCCAAGAGCCAGGTGCTTATCCTGGTCTCCAATGCGGGTGCAGGGCCCAAGCACTTGGGCCATCCTCCACTGCACTCCCGGGCCACAGCAGAGAGCTGGCCTGGAAGAGGGGCAACCGGGACAGAATCTGGCGCCCTGACCAGGACTAGAACCCGATGTGCCGGTGCCGCAGGTGGATGATTAGCCTAGTGAGCCGCGGCACTGGCTGACTGCCCTTCAAATAAACAGATCTCTAAAAACAATTTTGGGGGCTTTTTATTTTAAAATATTTCAAATAATACAGAAAAGTATAAAGAGTTCAATATGCACAGATAGGTTTCACAATTTTAAGCATTTTAATAAAAATATGTATTTATTTGAAAGGGAAGGAGAGAGAGGGAGAAACACCCATCCAAGGGCTCAGTCAAATGCCTGCAATAGCCAGGGCTGGGCGTGGTCAGAGCTGGGAGCCAGGAACTGAATCCAGATCTCCCTCATGGATGACAAAGACCTAAGTACTTGAATCATCACTGCTGCCTCTTACGGTACACGTTAGCAGGAAGCTGGACTCGGAAGTAGAGCTGGGGCTCAGACCCCGGGACTCCAGTATGGGATACTGGCATCTGAACTGATACATCAAATGCCTGCCCCTTCTGCTTGGTATGAAAGTGGGCATTGGAGGCAGAAGAGGGCAACATGTACTGTGCAATTTTGATTTTAATGTGAATGGCTGGGGTTAGGGTTAGGGCTAGGGGTTAGGGGGGTAGTCTGCCCTCCCTTGTTAAAAGTCAGCTCTCCCCAAGTTGATTGGGATGTCTACAAGAGCCCAATCCAGAAATTCATTGGCTGCTGTGGGTCAGACAGGGTGAAGCAGCTGGCATGGGGAGGTTCAATTATACTCCATCTGGCCTGCAGCATATTCCTGTGTTGAGTCTGCAAGGCACTTGCCTGCCTACTATTTTAGTAGACATACAAGACCGGACAAGATATATACTTCATTGGAGCATCTCATTGTAGCATAAGAGCAAAAGGACTTGATCTCAACTAACGTGGCAGCAAACAACGGATGTGATGAAGTAAACTGAGCACGGGAGACAAGCAGAATAGGCGACCTCTGTGTTGAGGGGGAAATGTCCACTGCTCATCAACGGAGACAGGGACGCTAGGACTGGGGAAGAAAATGGAGGCTGAGTGTGGTCAGGAGTGATCTCAGTAGACTCAGTGTAACCTCTATGATTCTTTTCTTTTTAAAGATTTATTTATTTATTTGAAAACCAAGCAAGCAGTGGAAGATGGTCCAAGTGCTTGGGCCCCTGCCAAACACATGGGAGACCAGATGGAGTTCTGGACTCCTGGACCTCGTTGTTGCAGCCATTTGGAGAGTAAACCAGTGGATTGGAGATCTCTCTCTCTCTCTCCCTCTCTCTGCCTTTCAAATATGTAAAATAAATCTTTAAAAATTATGAATGATGGCCAGGTGCTAGGTGCCTTACATATGTTCTAACACTCACAACTCCCCAAGGTAGCCTTTAGTCCCTTTCATCGATGAGGAAGCTGACAGAGAGAACAAGTGACATGGCTAAGATCACCCCATGGAGACGCAGGCCTCCATGCTTTGAAACAGCCTACTAGCTGCCACAATCCAATTTTTCCTGCATAGGAGAGATAAATCCCAATATCTGAGCATAAGATTGGCAGGCCCTGTCACGGGTTTCTACTCCATGACTGCTGTCAGGACTGAGAGATATTCCTCTTCACAATACCCCCACCCATGAGACGGAAGGAGACTCCATAACCTCCAGGACAGTGGCCAGTGACACCAACACCAGGGAAGGACTAAAGGAATCAAGTCACATAAATTTCACAGTCTAGTCAAGGAAGCCAGGCACACTGGAGGCTGGTGTGGATAAGCTTATGGACAGTCATGTCAGAATAACTTTTCATTAACTTTCTAAATAGTTACTAGATTGGCATGTGAAGAGGAGCTATAAACTCCTCATGAGTCTTTCCTTGAAGTCTCCTAAGACGGTCTCATGGAAAGACAGGTGCACTGTAAGGCAAGTTGCCCATGCTGTAGCCGTTGCCTGGATTGCCCCTACCTCCCCAGACTAAACAGTGAGAAGATTCCTACTCATCTTTGAAGATTAGTTCATATGTCATGTCTTCGAAGAAACCGTTCCTTACTCTCTAAGCTGGGCTGTGTGCTCCTTAGTGGCTTGCCACAGTCTATCATACATACCACTGTTACTGCACTGACCATATAACCCTGAAATTACAGGTCTGTGTTTGCAAATATATCTTGAGCATCTTTGTGTCTTCAATATAGAGCAGGAGAGTTGACACATATGTGGTTAGACAAACTTCGTTCAGTTGAACTTCAAACTCGTTGGATAGTGAAACTCAGTGTGATAATACTACATGGATATTAGCCTAGAGAAGAGGTCTCCAGGGGAATGCTGCAGAGCTCTGTCTACATTGATGGTACTATGATTATATTAGCAGGTGACAAAAATAAGGGAGTAAGTCACATATTAGACAACATAATTAATACACAAATAGTCACGGGCAGGCAGAAACAAAGGGAGTCAGGCTGGTCTCCAAAGCAGGTTAGGAGCCAAGTCAGGATTAAAGCCAGAGCTAAAACGCCATGGCCTCTTGCCTCCTTGATGATGGTAAATAATCTCTTCTTGGCCGGCGCCGCGGCTCACTAGGCTAATCCTCCGCCTGCGGCGCCGGCACACTGGGTTCTAGTCCCAGTTGGGGCATCGGATTCTGTCCCGGTTGCTCCTCTTCCAGTCCAGCTCTCTGCTGTGGCCCAGGAAAGCAGTGGAGGGATGGCCCAAGTGCTTGGGCCCTGCACCCCATGGGAGACCAGGAGAAGTACCTGGCTCCTGGCTTCGGATTGGCACAGCACGCCAGCCATAGCGGCCATTTGGGGGGTGAGCCAACAGAAGGAAGACTTTCCTCTCTGTCTCTCTCTCTCTCTCTCACTGTCTAACTCTGCCTGTCAGAAAAAAAATAATAATCTCTTCTTGAGCTGAAACTTACCTTCTTGTGGTATCCACCATTATAATAATGCTTATCATGTGCCAGACGCTGTACCCGCTTCTGCACTGTTCCATCCCCACTGGGACCACAGAATAAAGTCTAATGAGAGTGATCCGCTTGGCCTGGGGAATGAAGAAACAGTCTCTTACAGGACAAAAGAAAAGGGGATGCTAGCCGGATCCCAGTGAGAGTCGGGCTTTGTTCTTTACTAGGTGACAGGCAGGCATGACAACACAACAGTTTGAGAGCTGTTTGAAAAAGAAGCAGGCCTGCCTTCCAGAGATCGAAGGTGTGGAGTCAGTCACAGAGAATATGTGCCTTTGTCACCACCAACTGCTTCCCAAAAGAACTCAGGAGCTATCCTCACTGCTTCTGCACACCCCCCACCCTTCTGAACAATGCCCTCGCACAGTGTTACAGGCCTTCGTGTCTCCCCTGCTTCCCAAGGCATTTCTGTCTCTATCCTCCATGTTAATTAAGTCATTCATTCATTTTTTGATTCCACAAATATTTATTGAGTGTCTACTAAATATTACTATGCACTGTTTTTCTTGGTACTGGAGATACAGAAGTGAACAAAACAGAAGTTCCTGCTTTGTGGAGCTTACAGACTATTAGGGAGAGAGAAACACTAACCACAATAAAAAAATATATAAAATGCATCAAGTGGTAATCAGTGCTTTGTAGAAAAATAGAACATGTACAGTAAGATACGGAAGTAGAAAATGCAGGTGAAAGGGGTTATTTTAGATATGCGGATCAGGAAACACTTCTCTAGGAAGGTGCCGTTTGAGCGTATTGGAAGTACTTGGGAAAGTCAACAGATTATCTGGAAGGATGGGTGTTCCAGGCATTGACAAGAGCAAGTACAAAGGCCCTGAAGAAGGAGGGTACCCAGCATGCTTGAGAAACAGTGAGGAGGCCAGCGTGGCTGGAGGAGTAAGTGATGAGGAACATGACAGGAGCCGATAGTAGAGAGGTGAAGGGAATCAGACTGTGCAGGGACTCTTTGGCCATGGTGAGGGATTTGGCTTTTGTTCCGAGGGAGTTGCATGGGAGAATTTGAGCAGACAAGGGACATGATGTGATTTGGATTTTTAAAAGAATTTCAGAGAAGAAGTAACAGGTACTAGAAGACTAAGCAAAAAGAAAACAGAAATGTGTATAACAAAGGATATGTAATCACTGTATTCTATGCAGTTTTGATGTGAATACTATTTACAGTGTCATCCTCATGCAAATGGTGACTACCAGTTGAACAAAAAGGGTATGAACTGCTTAAAGAAGTGGCAGATGTAATTACAAAGAGGAGCAACCAACAAGAAACAATTAGGAATGGCTAGGAAGATTAGAAAGTAAAATATATGAAATCTGCACAAATGAAAAATGCAATTTTTGAAATGAAAACTTAATGGATACATTAAACATCAGAATAGACAAGGCTGAAGAGAAACTCAGTAAGCTGAAAGATATATCTGAAGAAATTGCCCAGAATGAAGTACAGGCAGACAAGGAGATATAGAAAATATCAGAGGTGTTATGAGAAGTAGAAGACAGAATGAGGAGGTCTAAAATGTGAATAACTGGATTCTGAAAAAGATAGATAGATAGATAGATAGATAGATAGATAGAAAGAGAGAAAGAGAGAGAAAGAGAGAGAGAAAGAGAGAGAAAGAGAGAGAGAAAGAAAGAAAGGAGGAAAAACAGGCAATATCTGAAGAGATAATAGTTGAGAATTTTCTAGAAATTATAAAAAACATGAATCCAATGAGCTATGAAAGCACATTTCCAAAGTAGAATAAAGAAAAAAAGAAATAAATGCCTAAACATGTTAGAATGAAACTGCAGGATCCCCTGCACACCTCACTCAAAAAAATGAACAATCTATGCACAAAAAACCTAGAAATTAGATGGATGGCAGACTTCTCAAAGGCAAAATAGAATGGGAACATATCTGTAAAAAATTACATTGTAAGAACAAGGATAAAATAAAGACATTTATATATAACAAAGACTGGGAAAACTTAACACCAAAAGACCTGTACTAAAAGAACATTTAAACACTGTACTCAGAATGAATGAAAATGATCCCAGAAGAATAGTCTGAGATGTAAGAATGTATGTAAGTAAATCCAAACATTGTCTATACAAAATAATACTGATGATGATGATGTATAATTGCAAGGCTAGGAACAAAGAGTAGCAAACTAAAATATCTGAAAATAACAGCATGGGGTCAGGACAGGAATGACTAGAATTGAAGTTTTCTAAGTTTCTTGCATTGTTCAAGGGGGGGTGGTGGTGGTGAAAACACTGTTTAACTTTAGATTTTATAAGTTAAACATATATGATAAAATTTCAAAGACAACTGAAGAAAAAATTAGAAAAAGAAATCCAAACAATAGGCAGGGGAAAAATGAATTATAAAACAAATTTCAAAACTACAAATGCAGGTGAGAAAAGAGAAACTGAAGCATGGAAAGGGTAGAAAGAGGTAAGCATGATGGTATAAACAAGTCCAAATATATCACAATTAAAGTAAACAGACTAAACTTACCAATTAAAAGAGAGAACAGCTATATGCTGTTTCCAAGAGATATAATTAAAGCATAAGGGCATGCAAATACTCAAAAGTAAAAGGATGGAAAATTATATACCACACAAATCCTAACAAGCAGAAAGGTGTGTGTTGCTACATTAATACAAGATAAAATAGACTTCAAGGAAAAATGCATTATCAGAAATAGAGAGGGCCATTACATATTTACCAGGAATATACAACAAATCTTAAATTGAATATTCCTAATAAAATACCCTCAAAATATATAAAACAAAAAAGATAGAGAAATACAAGCAGAAATTGACAAATCCACCATCACAGTTAAATATTAACACACTTCATTCAATTATTGGTAGATCATGACCAAAAAAATCAGTATAAAGAAAATTTGAGTGACACAATTAACAAACTTGATAAGAGACATGTAGAACTCTGTATTCAACAATTAGGGAACACACATTCTTATAAAGCATATAGGAAACATTCAAAAATATTGATCATGTACTAAATCATAAAACAGGTCTCAATTAATTTCAAAGAATTGTTATCACAGAGATCATATCCTCTGACTATAATACAATTAGAGTAGACTTCAATAACAAAGAGATACAATTTAAAGTCCCCAAACATTTGGAAACTTAAAATCATACTTCTATTTTAACTCATGGGTCAAATAAGTAACCTTGATGGAAATGTTAAGTTCTTGGAACTAAACAATAATGAAAATAACTACATATCTGAACTTGTGGAAAAGCAGTCATTAAAGGAAAATTTAGACCCTTAAATGCACAAATTAGAAAACAAGAAAGACTAAAATTAATGAGCTCAATGTCCACTTTAAGAAATTAGAAAAAGAACAAGAGAATAAACCCAAAAAAAGTGGAAGGAAGGAGATCAAAAAAGATAAGAGCAGAAATTAAAGAGATAGAAAACAAAGACACAATAGACAGAAGCAACAAAGCCAAAAGTTGGTTCTTTGAAAAGACTAATAAAATAGACAAACCTCTGGTGAGATTGATCAAGAAAAAAAGTGAAAAGGCACAAATAACCAATATTAGCAATGAAAAGGGAGACATAGCTACAGATTATATACAGCAGAGAATTTAAAAAAAGGGAATTTTAGACCAATGAATTTGCAAATGTAAACAAAAATGAACTAATTCTTAGGAAAATAAATCTTACCAAAACTGACTCAAGAAGAAAAAGAAATCCTCAGTAATTCTATACTACTAAAGTAACTGAAGCAGTAGTTAAAATTCTTCCCACCAAAAGAACAAACAAAAACAGAACGCAAAGTTTTCCAGTTGTTCTGTGGATTACAGGTAGGTAAAGATATATCGATTCCCTTAGCTCTATAGGTGTTCAGGTATGACCTGAGGCAGTGCAGACTGTAGGTAGGCCACCTCTCTATGGAAAGCCTCCTCTGAAGAGCCTTAGAGGGTAGCCCTTAGTGAAGTGGGGTGTGAGAAATCCCTCTGAAGGTGGTAAGCATGAATGAGTAACATCCAGTACTCAGCTACTGCTCTGTGGTAAATGTACTAAGCAAGGCCAAGGAGGTGCTCTATCACTTGGACAGCCTCTTCAGTAGCCAGCTTCTTTAGTCTTCTGCTCACTGAGGACAAGGGGCCCGTGGAGCTGCAGGAGGAGTCTGCGTTCCAGTTTCCAAGAAACACCAGGCACAGCCCAAGTTGTGATTGGTTGGGATGGGACTGGAGGCAGGGAGGCCAAGCAGGGGCTTCTGGAGGGTGTAGCTCCAGGTAGATGCCCTGACACTCTGTCTTCACGAATATCCTTTTAATGGTGTCCAAGCTAGCTGCAGGGTGATGGTTCTAATAATGATGCATGTTCTGCAAACAAGAGCTTCATCATTATTTTGAAATATTTAATATGAAAGACTTCAACTGGATTTGAAATCTACTCACATTATCATAAAAAATTTTACCAGTATATTTGTCAGTGAAACAAGCAGAAAAGCTGTAGGTATAAGTTCAATTGTTAAACATTTTTGAACAATTTAAAAATGGGTTTCAAAACTTTATCATCTACTTGTACAAAGAAAAATTTTGTTGTTGATGATGCTGACTGTTAAGAATTTGAGGAACACATCATTGAAAGGTCTTGGTTAGGATTTGTGTGTAGCCATTTCAAGTACAGGATATAAAATAAACATGTTATGAAAGCAAATTTCAAATTGTTCATTTGAAATTTTGAAAAGATTTTTATATCAAAGTTTAATGTTATCTCAACATTTAAAAGGAAAACATTAGACTAAGATGGTCCCATGGGGGAATTCTACCAAAGAGATATTTTCCAAAGTCATACAGCATCTTTCAGAATATTATAAAAGAGGAAACAGTCTCTTACTCATTCCATGAGACCAACAAAACTTTAATGTCTGAAGTAAGTAAGGACAGTATGAGGAAGGAAAATTAAACACCAATGTTACTCATAGACACAGATGTCAAAATCCTAAGCAAAGTGTTAGAAAGCCAAATCTAGTACCGTATAAAAAAGGAAAAGACCATGACCAAGATGTATTTGTATGAGAAATGCAAAGGTAGTCCAACATGAGGAAGGTCTACAAATGCCATTTACCACATTATCAGATGATTGGTGAAAACAAACTATCATACTGAGAAATGGAAAAGACATTTTATTAAAAAATCAGATACTCTTTCATGATTTTAAAAAACCAGAAACTTTGTAACATACAGGAATAGCATGAAACTTGCTTAACCTGATAGAACCCATAAAAACCTACAGCAAATATCATTCTTAATAAGGAAAACTTAGTCATGTTTCCTCTAAAATACACAATAAGATAGAGATGCTCACTATCACTTATCAAATCAACATTGTCCTAAACATCAAAGTAAGATGATAAAAAATAAATTAGACACATAAAGGTTGGAAAGGAAAAAACCAAAATGTCATGTTGACACTGATATGGTTGTTAACATAGAAAACACACAAGAACAGACAACTTAATAGAAACAGGAGCTCCTGGGAGAAATGGCTGATGCTAGGATTGAGGCCAGAAGATGCAAGATGAGTCTCGAACATCTTGGCATGGCAGAAGGTAAGGAAGTGCTCAAAAACAAACGATGGAGGCATGTCAAAGGTACACACTGGCCAATCTCAAAGAGCCCTCAGTGGCCAAAGCCGGAACAACCTGAGCAACAAAACAAAGAATATAGTATGGGATTACAATTCAACATCTTAAATAAATGTGCACAAGTTCATATGATATAAACAAGTGATAAGTAAATAAGCAAGGAGGAAAATAAAGGATGAGATCACTCTTTACAGAAGAATTCCAAATAATACATGCAGGTGTACTTCACACATTATGTTGGAGCTTAATTTAATCCCACCCCTCTCCTTGAGGGCAGACTAGATTCTTCCAAAGAACAGATTATGTAAAGGGAAAAATAGCAACTCTGCAGTGGAGAAACCTGGCCAACGTCACCTTAACCAAGGGATGAAGGTTCACATCATCAGGGATGATCATACTGTAGGAGAAAAACCTCAAACAAATCTGAACCACGGCCAGCGCCGTGGCTCACTAGGCTAATCCTCTGCCTGCAGCGCCGGCACTCCGGGTTCTAGTCCCAGTTGGGGCATCGGATTCTGTCCAGGTTGCTCCTCTTTCAGGCCAGTTCTCTGCTGTGGCCTGGGAAGGCAGTGGAAGATGGCCCAAGTGCTTGGGCCCTGCACCCGCAAGGGAGAACAGGAGGAAGCGCCTGGCTCCTGGCTTTGGATTGGCACAGTGCGCTGGTCATAGTTCTACTGGTCGTAGTGGCCATTTGCAGGGTGAACCAACGGAAGGAAGACCTTTCTCTCTGTCTCTCTCTCTCTCTCTCACTGTCTAACTCTGCCTGTCAAAAAAAAATCTGAACCAAAGGACATTCTTATAGTACTCCTCAAAATATTAAGGTCATAAAAACCAAGGCAAGGGGCTGCCGTTGTGGTGTAAAGTTACCTCCTGCAAAGCTGGCATCCTATATGGGTGTCAGTTTGATTCCTGGCTGATCCACTTCCAATCCAGTTCTTTGCTAACATGCCTGGGCAAGCAGCAAGAAGATGGCCCAAGTCTCTGGGCCCTGCAAGTGTGTGGGAGACCTGGATGAAGCTCCTGACTCCTGATTTCAGCCTGGCCTAGCCCTGGCTATTGCAGCCATTTGGGAAGTGAATCAGCGGATGGAAGATCTCTCTCTCGGTCTTTCCCTATCTCTGTAATTCTGCTTTTCAAATAAAAAAAAATCCTCAATTCTTAAAAAAAAAAAAAAAAAGCAAGGCAAGATTCAGAAACTGTCACAGATCAAAAGATAGGCTGACTAAAAGCAATGTGGCATTTTGAAATGGATCCTGGAACAGAAAAAGGACATTAGTGGGAAAAAGTAATAAATCTGTCTGAAGACAAGACTAACACCTAGTTAATAGTCACACCAATTTTGCTTTCTTAGTTTTGGTAAATATACCTAAGTGAGTATAACAGGGGTTCTTTAAAAAGTTCATGGAAAGCGTGCATTTTGAAAAAACAATACATGGATTTCAAACATTTTTTTGCACTGAAATACACTTATTTGAATCCCATTTTTCTATGAACTTTTTGACATCCTCTAACACAAGAACTTTCTGTACTATCTCTTTAGTAACTTTATATAAATCCAAAATGAAAAGTTCGTATAATAGTAAAAGTTTACTGGGGGCTGGTGCTGTGACGTAGTGGGTAAAGCCGCTGCCTGCAGTGCCGGCATCCCATTTGGGCGCCGGTTCAAGTCCCAACTGCTCCATTTCCAATCCAGCTTTCTGCTAAGGCCTGGGAAAGCAGTAGAAGATGGCTCAAGTGCTTGGATCCCTGCAGCCACGTGGGAGACCCGGAGGAGGCTCCTGGCTCCTGGCTTCAGATCAGCGCAGCTCCAGCTGTTGTGGCCATCTGGGGAGTTAACCAATGGATATAAGACCTCTCTCTCTCTCTCTGCCTTTCTGTAATGCTGCCTTTCAAATAAATAAATAAATCTTTTAAAAAAGTTTACTAAGGCATATGGTTAAAATGAAGACACAAAATCAGCTTCATTTCTATATACCTGTAAAAGTGATAAAAACACATTATATAGGGGCTGGTGCTGTGGCATAATGGGTAAAGCTGGCACCTGCAGTGCTGGCATCCCATATGGGCGCCAGTTTAAGTACTGGCTGCTCCACTTCCAATCCAGCTCTCTGCTAGGGCCTGGGAAAGCAGTAGAAGATGGCCCAAGTCCTTGGGCCCCTGCACCCATGTGGGAGACCCAGAAGAAGCTCCTGCCTCCTGGCTTCAGATCAGCGCAACTCTGGCCATTGCGGCCAACTGGAGAGTGAACCATCAGATGGAAGACCTCTCTCCCTCTCTCTCTCTGCCTCTCCTCTCTCTGTGTAATGCTGACTTTCAAATAAATAAATAAATCTTAAAGAAAAAAGAATCCACTTAACATAGGGGGATATATCACTTCCATCACTAGGACTCAACATCATAAACATCCATGTGTATCACATCAATCTACAGACTCATCGCAATTCCTAAGTCTTTAGAGAACATGACACGTGCATTCTGCGATGCATTTAAACACCCAACGGCCAGGAATACCTGATATTCCTAAAGAAAAATAAAATGGGAAGATTTTGTTCTATCAAATATCAAGGGTTATCATGAAGCTGAAGTAAAGGTAGCATACTGAGGTACTCCTTCAGAGAAAGCTGACCAACAGCAAAGAGAGCCCAGAAACAGACCTATAGAGATGGAGAACTCTGGTGCACGCCACTGGTGGCACCTCCTATCACTGGATTATGTAGGTGGACAATAACGAAGCCAGTTCCCTACCTTCTACCACACAAAAATCAGTTCCAGTTGGATCAAGGAGTTAAATGTGATAGGTAAGCTTTTATTAAAATAGGATAAAGAAGGTTATGACCACATGTTAGGAAGGACCAGCTATAATAAGGATTGATCTATTAAACTCTATCAAAAAATCAGAATTTCTTCTTTTCAATAAAAAAATAAAATTTCTTCTTTTCAAAAACACCATAAAGAACAAAATACCCCAAACTGAGAGAAGGTATTTAACAGGTATAATTGACAAATGATGAGTTTCCAAAATAAAGAATTCCCATAAATCAATAAAAATGATTTAAAATTGCTTTCAACAGGCAAAAGATAATAGCTGGTTTGCATAGAAGAACCAAATATGGCCAATAACCATGAAGAGATGTTCTACTACATTGATGACTAGACAAATGCTAATTAAGACCACAGTGAAATATTATTTTGTACTCACTATAGTGACAAAAATTAAGAAGCAGGACAATATGAAGTATATAAAGGTGGGACTCAATGGGATCCCTTATACATTGCCGAAAGAACTGTAAAGTGGTGCCAGCAGGGACCGGTGCTGCGGTGTAGTGGGCTAAACCCCTGCTGGCAGTGCCGGCATCCCATTTGTGTGCTGGTTTGTGTCCTGGCTGCTCCTCTCCCATTCAGCTCTCTGCTATGGCCTGGGAAAGCAGTAGAAGATGGCCCAAGTGCCTGGGCCCCTGCACCCGTGTGGGAGACCCAGAAGAAGCTCCTGGCACCTGGCTTCGGATCAGCGCAGCTCCAGCCGTTGAAGCCATTTGGGGAGTGAACCAGTGGAAGGAAGACCTCTTTCTGTGTCTCCCCATCTTCCTGTCTGTAACTCTAGCTCTCAAATAAATAAATAAATCTTTCAAAAAAAAAGTGGTGCCATCAATTTAGAATAACTCTGTTAAGGTAAATTTTACATGTTTTATTAACTAATGATTCCATTCCTATGTGTATATCTTAGAACTATGGGTGTGCATGTATACCAGGAGACACATATAAAAATTTTCATAGTATCACTGTTCATGAGAACAAAAAGCTAGAAACAACTCAAAGGTCCATCAATTGATAAATGGATAAGTAATTTGTTTTCTAGTCACCCAAGGTAATATTATACAAAATTGTAAATGGACAAACTATAGCTACATGCAACAACACAGGTAAAGCTTAGAAACATACTATTGGGGGCTGGTGCTATGGCTTAGTAGGCTAAGCTTCCACCTGTGATACAGCATCCCATATGGGCACCAGTTTGTGTGCCAGCTGCTCCTCTTTCAATTCATCTCTCTGCTGTGGTCTGAGAAAGCAGTGGAAGATGGGCCAAGTGCTTGGGCCCCTGCTCCTGTGTGTGAGATCCAGAAGAAGTTCCTGGTTCCTGGCTTCTGGCTTCGGATCGGCTCAGCTCTGGCCTTTGCAGCCATCTGGGGGAATGAACCAGCGGATGGAAGACTTTTCTCACTCTTTCTCCCTCTGTCTGTAACTCTACCTCTCAAATAAATAAATAAAATGTTTTTTTTTAAAAAGAAACATACTATTGCATGAAAAAGGAAGTCACAGAAGACACAGATAGTATATTTTTGTTTACAAAGCTGAAAAATCAAGCCTAAAAGATAATGTATTAGTTAAGAATCCCCATAAATATGAGAAAATGCCATATATCCAAAACAGGAAGGGAATGCTAAGCCTAAGACTTAAGAGAGTGCTCATTTCTGTGGAGTGGGCAGGAGGAATGAGATAGAAAATGACACAAGGAGAGATGCTTTTCTTACTGGTACATTATATTAAAGCTCGCATGTATAATGTATGGATTCTTTTACCATATATGTAACCCATTTTATATGAACAGACAGAGAATGGGAAGAGTACGAGGAAGTGAGGAATGACAACTCTTTTGGGGAGTTCTGCTATTGGGAAATTGAGAAATACCATCATAATTGCAATGGGATATGGGATGCGATGGGCGTGCCTTTTTTAAAAGATAGGAGAAATAGGAGGGCGATGGAACTTTGGTGAATTCACTCTCCCTCTAAAACAATAAAATTATGGACAAACCAACTATACTCGACCATTTGGAAGTCTGGCAATTAACCAAAGCCACAGAATGAAGTGAATATCGCCTACCTAAGAGAAACTGCAGACTCCTGCTTGGTAAGCCAGCAGGGTCTGTGACGTTTTACCTGTGGCTAGTCTCTTCCTCCCCCAACCTCTCCAGCTCAGTGGTACAGTAGCCAGAAGGACAAAATTGCAGAAAAACACAAAGATCTGATGCTGTAGGAATTTGAAGGGATATCCTGGCG